TATTATGGGGTACTTAGTGTAGATTAATGAGAAAAAAAATGAATTTGAACTATTGTAGTATCAGGTAGCAACATAACAAAATTGAAAAAAGTGAAGGGGGTCTGAATACTTTCCGAATGCACTGTGTATTTTGAAGTCTGCTTGCAATAAATATTTGAAGTTCAGCTGAAATATGTTATTACCATTACTATTCTTAAAAAAGAATTTAACATCCTCAGTTTTAAACATAAACTGCAATGGGTCTTGCCTTTGGATAACTAGACAATTTTCTTATAATATCAGAAAATATTTTCTAGAATTTGAGATAGGCTGTTTTGGTGTATTTAATCCTTTCTCTTTTCCATGAATTCTGTTCCTGTATGTATATACTGGAAACAGTATATTTAGTTGAGTGTAACTGTTGCCTGATTCTTTCTTTTTCAAATCTTATTTGTGCTTGAGTTATATAATTTTGATTGTTCAAAATATTTTATTTGTCACTTTTTATAAAAACATTCAGAACTAATTTAAGGAATCTGGAGATCCAAAAAATGCTAGATTTGGAGCCTTGCCTCACATAAAGTCCCAGATTAATATTGCAGAGGGGTTCCTGATATGTTAAAATTAACATATTCAGAATGGAATGCTTTATAGAACCAGAACTAAACATTAAAGATAGGTCTAGAAGAAACATATGAAAGACTACATTTGTGGTAGTTTGTTTTTTACTGTTTTTATTGTTTTGTAAACTGCCGAGAGTGGCTATATAAGTCTTTTAAGTATATATATACATACATACATACTTAACTGCTTTTATTTAAGTACTGTTTTCCTTGCATTCTGTCCTCTACACTTCTACAAGAATAGCTGTAGAAATTGTCTGCCTTGCAGCTACACAATGAAAACAGGATAAAATAACAACAGCAGCAGCAACAACAACATCCTAAGGGGAATTATCCTACTTCTAGAATTACTATCTTAGTATCCATTTATTCCTAACCTGTTTCCTGCCCTTTAGTTAGGTATTACCTATCCATAAAAGGATCTGTCCTCATAATTTACAATTTCTAAGATCACTCGCTGATGAAAGACTTTCCCATTTTTTTTCCAAAGTCCACCTATATAGTTTAAGTGAATCATCTCTATTTACACGTTTCTTCACATTCTCAAATAAGTAAGACTCTTTCCCACAAATCTTACCTCTCCATCATGGCAGACACATGTGTCAGTTCCTCCTTGCAGTCCCTGGTCAGATGTCACTGACAAAAGGGAGGGGTCTGGCCTAGGTAGTGGGGTGGTGGTGCATGGTTGGGACATAATGAAAGAAGGAGAACAGTGATGGGTGATTTTTTTTTTTTTACAGTTAAATGTACTTCTAACTTTAAAAAACCATAAAACAATAAAGGATTATTAGATGCACGTTCACTCAACCTGTACAGATTAGTGTGGATATTTATGCCCTTGCATGGCACTCTTAGCAGTGTTCTGTTGTCTAGCAAAGTGTGAAGAATAGCTTTTCCCTTGTTGGTAATGTTCATAGTGACCGAGTGCAGAAATGATAATTCTTTCTACTGTGTTATAAATCTGTTTCTTTTGACCATCCAGTGTTCTTTTGACCGTTGTGAATTAAACGAAGCCTTTTGGTGTTGCTTATGCTAGATAACCAGTGCATGCCGTTGAGTCCCATAGCAAAATGCTATGATGCATCTCTCCTTTACATTCTGAATCTAAAGGCTTTTCTGTGCTGTGGCCGTACGAGTTTGTCTCCTTAAGGACGGGCTTTCCTACAGTGGATTGAAGCACAACAGACATACACACACACTGAGAGGAATGTAGGCTTTTTTTTTTTTTTTTACTAGATCTGGGCTGAAAAAATTCAGACAAGTTACAATTTTTTCTGTCTCTTTACTGCCATTTAATGGCTGTGTAGAATGCATCCTAGATAGAGTAGCCCCAGTCTCCAGATTACATCTTACATGAGAGGAGAAAAACCTTTGCTTACTTTAGGCTGCAGTGGACAAATTGGCTAGCAGTCAGACAGGAGAACAATGCACTCCTTCGGTCTAAATCTCTGCCACACTCATTGTTGTCATTTTTGGCCACTTGGCCTTCCATGCTTTTCCATTGCTTGCTTGGTTTTGTGAATTCATGGAAGGAGGCGGGAGCATGCACAGTTGCTAGCTCATGATAGGACTAGAACAGGTGCATTGTTGGAGATCGATACAGTGCCAACAGGCAGAATACTGTAGGGAAAGAGCTCATGTTTAGGAGCCCCACATTTTCTGGACCCTCTATGTTACAACCTTCTTAAACCAGCCCAGATAAGATTAACCTGAATAAGAACAATAATGTTACTTTGAAAACTGACATGTTCAGTATCGCATCAATATTCTCTTGCCCCAGTAATATTTATCCATTCAGAAGCTGGAACCTAACCGTGAGCTTTTCCAGTTAATTTGATATGAAGGCTGAGTTCCAATACTTGTCAGGAATAAGCCCCGTTGAGCTTAGTGAGACTTCTCAGTAGCATTGTGCTATGCAAGTGAAATTGAAAATAGAGCTGCATGGCAATCAGGATTATTTCTATTTTGAAATAAGGTTTCCCATCCCCCAACATTAGAACAAAAGTAGGTCATGAGAAATTGTAACTAATGAATGAAAGGAAAAGAAATGTAGTTCTGTATCAAGCACCTAAAGCTTTCAGAACCTTCAGTTTGATCAAGTCTCATTTCAATCAGCTTTTGTATCAATCTATCCAGTTTTCTTGATAAAAGCATAATGGCATTCTGTACCTCAATATGTAATCCCATATCAATTGTTCCATAAATATAAATTATATCTTGCAAACATAAGGGGTAATAGGTCTTGTTCTCTTTTACCTCTGTAATATTCATAAAATATATGTATTGCTTATGTTTGTTAGTAGTGAAACATGCCTTAATTTTTTGTAGTCCCCCCCCCCTTTCTAATTTTGGATCCTTATTGGGTTTTTTTCCTCCTTTCTACTTCCATTTGCTTCCTTTCTACTTTTTGATTAAAGCAAATGTGCATTTATTTGAATAAATTTGGGTATCCTTTGAGAAACCTCAAAAGTTACTTTCTCCCTCTAAAAATCTCACAGTGACAAATAGCTGATACATCTGCTTGTATTAACCATTTTGTCACTGTGAGATTTTTCAGAGTGAGAAACAGTAGAGGGAAGTACCGTTTCCAGGCTACTAATTACATCCCAGATGAGTGTGAAGAATGATTTTTTTTCAAACTCTGTTGTAAAAATCTAACTGTGTTTGGTTACCTCTCATTTCTTTTAAACAATTATGGAGAACACGTCTTGTTTTGAAAACTGCTCATAAATGTTTCACAATGAGAACCATATATGGTAAGGGTCAGTTACTTTAATCCCCAAAGCAAAATTCAATTTTGTGAGGCATATCAAGTGCTCCTTCCTTTCCTCCATTCATTTGTCACTCTAGAGGCAAGAAAATAAAAACTCGATTTTTTTTAATGTAGCGCCCATCTCCATTTATCTATTTTTCTGTAAAATTAGTTAATGATAATTGTAATGTGCATAGAAGAAATTAAAGGGATACTTTTCTTCTAATCTCTTTTAAGCTCTTTCATTTTAACTTTACTATTCAAATGCATTTTCTGATCCTCGTTTGCACTGATGATGCCATAAATCTGTTGACTGTGTGTGCAGAATAAGCACTACTGCATGATTTCAGCAGAAGTTAATTTTTTTAATGGGAACTTCAGCATGTGGTCTGTTGGCTTGAATTATCTGGTGCTTGTGATTGCTCATAATATGCCCTCTCAAAACAAATGTAAAATTTAGTTCCTTATATCAACAGTAGTATTTTATAATGATTTTGTCTTTTGGGATAATAATTTTGTATTTTTGTTTTTACCTTGACTAGCATTCATACTTTATAACTCCTGATATAACTGGATTACCAACTGTTCCTGAAAGTGTAAGTTTTGACTATATTTGCTATATAGGTTTACAAATAAATCATTTAACAAACATCTATAGATCATATACCTACTGATCAAACTCCCTCACTGTCATATGGCTTCATTCACCTATATATGAAATGCATAATTAAATATTCATGTCATAATGTTGGATATTTTAGACAATGTGTGTAGGTGTATGGGTGGGAATGGGTGTGTGATTATACCTTCATTTATGCAGCTAAAATAATTTAGCTATAATGGATGCAAAGATTTAGTTAGGATTTACTATGTGTATACAATTGGGGTTTTAAATAAATAGTTATAGATAATATGGTAAATCAAAAATAAGGCCTCCTTTCTAAAAATATAAAACTAATCTTGGACACATTTTCAAAACATGCAAATGATACTAGATGAATTTCAGTTAAAATGCTTATTAAGGAGACAATTTTTTAAAAAAATATTATTTTCCCCTTTTAACTGGGCAGAAATAGATAAATTAATATATCACTCAGTTACCATTATTAATGTGTTAACAGACTTTATTCTTCATTAACTAGAGAAATCTTACTGAATATTTTGTTGCTGTGGATGTGAATAACATGCTACAACTTTATGCCAGCATGTTGCATGAGAGACGCATCATTATTACCTCCAGCAAACTAAGCACTGTGAGTACTTCACACATCTCTTTTCAAGTAGACTATATTGAGCATCTCACAAAAAAAGCTTGCAGATCTCTGTAGATTTAAATATGTTCCTTACATACTTATGAGACAATATCTACATACTTTTTTTAAAAGATGTCGTTTTAATCTGACTCTTGAAGCACAAAAGTCTGATTGATATAGGCTTACTCAAATACATTAAAGCAGGTTAATTACTTTTCGTTACCCAGGGATGAGAGTTCTTTAACCCTCTAGAGTTCATTTCTGCGCCTTCCACCCTATAAAGAATTCTTAAGGGCTATTATAAGATCTTTATTATTCACTTGTGGCTTATTCCATTGGACCTACTAGAAAGAAATCAAAGGGGCATGATAATAGCTGCTATCCTAAATCTAGTAATAGTAAATTCATCTTAGTAGCAGAGTAGTGTTTGGGGAAGGTATACTGTAATGACTCTGATTTTGAGCAGCTCTTCAGACTGATAATGACTTACTATTCCAAATAGTCTTTTTTTATTACAGGTTTTATGCCTCTGCCTAGGCTGAAATGGCTTTCTTGTGTCATTGCAGATGGAGCTGAGATAAAGGGTGTGCTGTGTTTATCCATGCCTAAATCTTTTGATAGTCCTGTTGTTTCAGCTTTTCCCTTGTGGTGTCATTTATAACTCTAAATCCATCACCGTTAAGTTGAAAATAACATTGCCTTCATGCCAGTGGGCATCATTTGTATCTGCATAGCGTCTGTTTAATTTAAGCCCATAAATAAATTACTTAAACTCCCTCAAACCCTTTGCTTTACTTACTTTTCAGTCTGATAATAAATACTCTAATGCTAGATTTTAATCATGTGAGCTCCCTACTCTGATTATGTTAACATAGGGAAAATAAGGTAGGTGGATGTGTTAACATTTTCAAAAACTAGTGCTCATTGAAAGATAAATCCATTGCAGAAACAGTATTACTTTTAATCAGTTTTAAAACCTTTTTGAATGATATGTTGGCTTTATTTGCGGAATATAAATCCTTAGACACTTCCCAAAATAGAAAAGAGCTGCCCCATCAGCGAATTGCATTAACTTTCTTCTTACAAATTGCTTAGGAAGACTATTGATACCACTTTCTCCTCTTCATTCATAAAAAAAAGGGAGATAAAGATCTCATTTAGTATGGAAAGTAGAATGCCCACAAAATACAATGTTGGTGTTGAAAGAAACATTTTTTCTTCAGCTAGCTTGGCAAAAATTTATCTGCAGTGAATCAAATGCATCACATCAGACAATCTGCCAGGCTATTGCTAGAATTGTTCTTTAGCAATCAAAGTTTTAATGAACTTCCTTATGACCTCTGAGATGCCTTTCTCCCATCTTTAGAAACCTCATATATCATACCACATGGCACAGGGATTGATAGCTCAGAGGACTTCCCTTTCCATAAACATTTTTATATATTTTATAAGCAGGTATGCAATGAGAAACATTCCTAATCCACAGAAGGGCAGGAATAGTTTACAGATGACCCATAGTGAAGAATGGAGCCTATTGTAGCAAAGTTCAAGTTAAATACACAGTGATTTGAGTTAAATACACAATGGTTCAAGTTCATTACACAATACTACTTATACAGTA